ACTCTATGTCCATACACCAACCATCTGTGTCCCCAGAGCTGTGTTCACTCTGTACACACACCAACAATCTTGTGTCCCCAGAGCTGGTGTTCATTCTGTCCATACACCAACCATCTGTGTCCCCAGAGCTGTGTTCACTCTATGTCCATACACCAACCATCTGTGTCCCCAGAGCTGTGTTCACTTTGTTTGTGTGTGTGTACCCCTTTCTTCCCATCCTACAGAACTGGACAGAAGCAAAGGTTAAACCCAGACACTGAGAACTTTGGCAGGTGTTCGGTCCTCCCACCCTCTTTCCCTCTCAGCCACCTCAGGGGAGAACAAAAAAGCTTTCACTCCTGCCACCACACTGTGACTGCCGCACTTAAAAAGAAAGGGCCTTTTCTCATCCTGTGCCAACGACTAATGCTGTTCAGCAAGGTCCCTCCCCACTCCTCAAACAATCTTACTACTGCCTTCAGGGAGTGTGGTAGTCCTGGCTATGGTGGCCTCAAAAGATACCCCCCTTCCCTTTGGCACCTGAGCTGTCATGAACAGTTTAAAATGTCTCCACTAGGCCTCGTGTTCCTCTATGTATATGGGGTCAGGTGGATGAACAGGGACAAGATCTTTAGGCAGAACACTTGAATCCACTATCCTTATTACAGCTCCAAAGAAGGTGGAGAAAGTGTTAGCCAAGATGAGAAAACAAGACACCGAGGGAGAGCTGCCTCAGAGATACACTGATGGCGGACGCCAGGCCCCAGGCAGCTCTTCTCTATCCTGCAGAGCTTGCTACCCCCATCTGATGCAGGATTTTAAGTGTCCTCTCCTGTCCTATGCTGCCCTTGACCCTCTCTGTCTCTTCACTTACCTTTCATTTTCCCAGCCAGCTCATATATTTTTCTTGGTTCTGCTGATCGTGCTTCCAGAGCTGAGAATAAGCCACCTCTGCCCCAGCGGCCAGAATCATCTGACGGGAGAGAGAAAATTTCCATCTATGGGAGGCAAGTCCAGTCCACAACTCAGAAGACCAAAGGCACGCAAAATAGGCTTTTGGGGGAATGACTTCCTAGAGAAGGAAGTCGATCTAATCTCTGATGGGAGATGTCTTTCTGTAAAACTTATTGGTTGATGAATAAAACACTGTGGCCAATAGGGCAACAAGATAGGTGGGTCTAGGAGATGAGGAGGATTCTGGGAGGTATATAGGTAGAGAGCAGTCGCCACAGTAGGACACCAGAAGAGTAACAGGTCCCTGGACCTTTCTCTGTTAAGACCACATGGAAATACTTAGATTAATAGAAATGGGCTAGTAACTAAGACAGAGCTAGCCAATAAGAAGCTCTAGTCATTGGCCAACAGTTTCATAATTAATATAAGTCTCCGAGTGTTCATTTGAGGGCTCAAGGGCTGCAGGGCCAGTGGGGACAAAGAACCATTCGTAACAAACGTCCGAGGAATATTCTAGAATGCATACTTGGCCACTGTGTCAGGAAGGGTCCAAACAGGAACCTCAGAAGCTAAGTGTGCTGACGGAGGGGAAGCTCTGGTGCACCTGTACCGGCTGGAGGTGAGATGCAGGGTAAAGGACAGAGTAGAGGATATAAGAGAGTGGGTGCTGTAAGCCTACAGTGCATACCCCCAAACACAATAAGGAGGAGGAAAAGCAGGACTCAAGCAGTGCAAGCCGGTACAGCACAGCTGGTTAAACCTTGTATTTATACTCATTTATTCTACACATATTGGCTCATATATCTTACATGTCAAGCACTTTTCTAAGCACCAGGCTTATGCCAATGAACAACAATAACAAAAGTCCTTGCTCCATGAAGCTAATTTTCTAATGCAATGAGATAGTCAAATAAACAAATATATGTTATTATGCCAGGTGATGACAAAGAACAGGACAGAATAAGACAGAAGATGATGATGGAGACTGCTGAGCCTAGGGGCCAGGGGAGAGCAACCTGAGAAGCAGACATCTGCACAGCGCCCAGCGTGGTTGCTGGGGCTAGAGGATTCTAGGTGAAGGAAGTTACGGTGTGACGGTCATCAGGAGGTCACCGGGGAGTACTGCTTTTCCTCATAGAATGTATTTATTTTCCAAGCATCACCTCATTTCGCCCCCCTAAATATGCTGTGCAGAAGACAAAGCTGACACCAAAAGCCCATATGGAGTAAGGAAGTTTCAGACCAAGGAGGTTGCATAATTCAGCCCAGTAAAGGACAGAGTCAAGTCTCACTGCTAAAAGCCACGCCCCTTGCCCATACGATGCTACACTGGGATCATCACTCTTGGGTCACATTGACCTTATCCTTCCAACTTCTTGGCATCACAAAGACTAGACATCCCCAGGGTCCCAGTGCACTTTTCGTACCTACACAATGAACAATGATGGCATCCTCGGCATCAGCCTGTGGGTGGGTGACGTCACCGCTAACGTACTTGATAGCCATTGAGTCTAGGTCTTCATCATCTAGCTCACCAGAAGTCTCGTCTTCTCCATCCTCAAGGTCCTCGGGCTCGCTGTCCTCCAAGGGCAGGCAGAAGGACTGGTAACTGTTGGATTCCCACCAGGCCATCCTTCAGGAGACCAGAGAAGGAGGCAATTAGAGACCCCTTGGACAGTGACAAGTGGAACCGGAACAGCACCTCCCACATTTCTACTTACATGTAAATAAGCAAGTTTTACTGACTGGCCTAACTGCCTCCCTGCTACTCTTAGGAGAAGCCACCAAATGTCTGTTTGTAAGAACCTACCTGAAAGGGACTGTTCAAATAAATGACTCCTCATTACACAGCTACAATAAAATCTTTTAAAATTCCTGTTTCAGGGCCAGCGAGATCCCAGGAAACCACAGGGTGAAAGCAGAGAAGACACTCCCCCAAGTTGTCCTCTGATCTCCTCATGTGTGTGTGTGTGTGTGTGTGTGTGTGTGTGTGTGTGTCGTGGCTCATGCACACACACACACACACACACTAAACAAATAAATAGATTCTTATTCAATAGAATGCATCATCACCTTGGCACTGAGGACTAAATGTAAAACTTTAATCTTTAAAAATACACCGACTCCATTAAGAACTGCCAGAGTGACCCTGAGTTTCTGGCATTAAAACCACGTCAGCTGTGGACTCACTACACAAGACCACCCCCCC